TGCCCGGTGCCCATTGTCCAGTCTCCACTGTCCAGTGTCCAGTGTCCAGTGTCCAGTCTCCAGTGTCCAGTGTCCGCTGCCCGCCGCTCTCTGTCGGGCTCTGCGGGGTCGGAGCAGTCGGGGTCGGGCCGGAGCAGCCCCAGCCCGGGCAGGAAGCGATCGGCGACTCCGGGAGCGCTGAGGTTCGGGCCCCGCACCCGCCCCGGCCCCGCAGGAAATCCGGGGAGGGAGCCCTGAACCATCCCCACCCTGCGGGCGGCACAGGAGAACCTCCGGGGCGCGTCTGGATCTCCGTCTGTCCGTCCGTCCGTCTGTCCGTCTGTCCGTCTGTCTGTCTGTCCATCCATCCCTGATCCATCCATCCATCCATCCCTGATCCATCCATCTGTCCGTCTGTCCATCTGTCCATCCCTGATCCATCCATCCATCCATCCATCCATCCATCCATCCATCCATCCATCCATCCAGGAGGGGACAGAGGGGACAGTGCAGGACAGGAGGGCACAGGGTGATCACACCCCGAGTGCGCTCAGGGACAGGAGGGGACAGGAGGGGACAGGAGGGCACAGGGGGGCACAGGGTGATCACACCCCGAGTGCTCTCAGGGACCGCAATTCCCATTTTTCCCATTTTCCTGGAGCCGGGAGCAGCTCCGGGCTCGGTGAGCGATGGAAAGGAACCCGTGGCCACCCCGCTGTCCCTTTGTCACCGCTCCTGGGGGGCTCCATGGATGGTTCTGAGGCGCCTTCGAGCTGGGAATGTCCCGATCGTTCCTCAGGGGGAGGAACTGTGATTTTCCTGATTTTCCTGATTTTCCTGACGATTCCGGTGATTTGTGCCGGGATCATCCCTCTGCTCCCGTGTCTCTGGGATGAGGCGGGTTTTTCACGCCCCCCGTTACTCATCAGGAATTTTGGGGCTGTAATTTGTTATTTAATCACCGGTGAGTCACAACTCGGCCCTCGGGAAAGAAACAGTGGCCAAATTCTGACATCTTGGAGGTTTTTCCCCCAAAATAACGTGTCACACTCATCTGCGTGCATCAGAGCTAATTAGCGAGKAACAACTGACATCAATCAGCTCCGCCGTGACTCACATCCGTCTCGACGCGGGAATATTTTTGTCTTGGAGAGTCCCAGGAGAGGGAATTATTGATAAAAATGCCAAAACTGGGGAGTGAAAGGGTCCGGGGTGGGGAGGGGCTGGAGCAGGGGATGGTTTGTCCTGGGTGGGCAATCCCGAGGAATTCTGCAGGTGTGGAACCCACCCGAGCGCTGAAATCAGTTTTAATGAAGAAATAAATTAATTTCATTAATTGCTGGATGAAAAGCAGCCCGTCCCAAGCACGGAGTTAAGCAGCAGCAGCTTTGCAAACCACAGCGGATATTTGGGGTAATTTCCTAATATAGACAAACCCACTCTGCTCTCTCCTTCCTCTGCTCCGCCTTGGCTCGGTGACAGCGGAGCTGCRAAAACACCGAGAAAACCTGAAATTTAAACCGATTTTTGGTGCGCTGGGGAGGCACAAAGGGTGCGGTTAAAGGGGTTTGCGAAGCGCCGCCTCTGCCCGGGGACGGATTTGGGGGGCGTTTCCCCTGCGCGGGTTCGATCMCCCGTGCCCAACCCCCGGCTGCGCTCCCGGGTCTCTGCTACGAATTTTGCTGCCTAATTAAAGTAATTAAACTGTGAATGAGGTGGGCAAATCGCCCCGCAGCCCCGCGCCCCCGGCAGCAGCGCATCCCTGGGGAAAGGAGGGTTCCTCTGCTGCCGCTCCCCCGGCCCAGTTCCCGATTTATCGGGAATTGGGATGGGAAAAAACCCCAAACCCTTCGGGGGCTGTTCCAGAGCCCCGAGCCCGAGGGATGCTGA